TAACCATACACTTTTTGAATGCCATCCAGCGAGACAAATTTGGGCTCTTTCTCAAATTCCTTCGGTCCCGGGGATTTTTTCTGCGGCTTCTATTTACGAGAACTTGGATCACCTATTTTGGAGAATACCTTCAGAGGTAGAATCATCTTCTTATCTATGGATAATTTGGTACATTTGGAAAGCAAGGAATGAAAAGATCTTTGACAATGTGGATAAAGATCCATTAGAGGTCTTACATTTAGCGGAGAAAGAGGCGCAATCGTGGCAGCTAGCTCAAAATGAGCTTCATACTTATAACCATGGTTTTTTAGATAATGAAAATCGAAACCGAGTGAGGGAAATATCACTGTTTATTCAGGATATCGTTGTTTCATAGATGGATCATGGAAAGGAACCGATACTTTTTCAGGAACAGGATGATATTGTACATCATCAAATGGAGAGATGTCAACCATGGGAGTTGCCAATATCCGTAGAAGTCTATCTCCTCTACATACAGAAGTCGAAGCTCTTCTTTGGGCGATGAAGTATATGATTGGTGCTGACAACCAAGATGTAGCTTTCTTTATAGACTGTTCAGATTTGGTGAAGATGGTGTCTTTTCCAACCGAATGGCGGCTTTTTCAGTGTATCTGGAGGACTTTCAGAGTGACAGGAAAGAATTTTCAACCTTTTCTCTATCTTTAATTCCTCATAGCTCAAATGTAAAAGCAGATAAATTGGCTCGACAAGTTCGTACCGAACCGCTTCATATCACATATTTAAACAACATTCCCAGGAATGGTTCTTTTGAGCTTTAATTTAAGCTGTTGACAAAAAAAATGGTAAATAATATCAAAATTTCATATGTTTTAAGTGCTTGCATGGAATTTATCTACTAATTTTTCAACATTTAATATAAAACTTATGTAGAAAAATATATATCAACAACACTTAATCCAAACAAACTAAGTGTGTAGGTTATTATTTTTATTAATGAACACTAGAATTTGATCTATTATTTCGAGACAATTGGTAATAGATGTATTATCACAAAAAAAAATTGTGGTATATATTAAATTTTTTTTTATTATATAATGTTTTAAAGATAAAAGAATAAATTATATTTTATTAGTTATTCACAAAAATACTTCAAAAATTGAATATATTTAAATTATTTTCAAAACATAATAACAATACAAATGTACTTTCCATATATTATTTTATGTAAACTTCGATCTGTATACAAAATAACTGAATGCATAACCCACGCATCGCGTGGGCAATTTTCTAGTATATATATATAATACAAAAAGTTACCTCCCTATTTATGATAGAATCCAATCAGTACTCCACACTACTGCATGTTCATGCATAGCAACTGAGAAAGTACACCTCATGACCTCAATTTCGAAAAAGCCTTAGCGTCAACTGTCAACTTGTACTTTTAACCCAAAACGTACCACAATTTGTTTTGCCCTATTTAAATAACAAACAAACAAACAATATTCCAAAACTTTCAATTAATTGAAAAATTTTGACCGCTTATTTTATATACAAAATCTTCCCCATTAAACTATTAACAAGTTGTGTTTGATTGAGGACAAATATTTTTTGAAGGAGATCGTTGGATCTAGACAGTTCGATTGTTACATGTTTAATATAAAACTTAATTGAGTAGATTCAAAATAAGGTATATTGAATTTCACCAACGTTGTGTTGGCCCAGTGGTAAATCTCTCAGGTAGAGGTATTGGGGTTCGACGTCCGTTGGGAGGGATCTCTTTTCCGAAGGAGATGGATTTAACATGGTGTGAGTTCCGCCTCTGGGAGATGTAAGACTTTTGGGGTTGAACTTTGAGATATTCAAAAAAAAAAGAATTTCATGTTATGTTTTTTTTTTATTGAGTTTCTTGTCTACTAGATTGAAGTTGTGAACGCGACAATTAACTAATACTGAACTTCTTAAATGATATATAGGGGTTCGTTTAGCTAAAATAGTACTTAAGAAAATTTCCTAAACTTTTTTTGTTTGCTACCACAGAATTATTGGTTAGAAACTTTCACGTGCCTTCTATGGTTTTGGAAGCAGAAACTAACAGTTTGGGCAGAGAAAGGGTTAAATTTGCTGACTGCATTATCAAAATGGACTTGGCTAAAGTTGTGGCAGAATTAATGGATTCAGAGGAGTGCCCATTTCTTGGAGTTTTATTGCATGAGATCCGACATTTTCAAAATCCTTTTTTCCCAGGTGAAAGAATACTCACTCTCCACGTGAAGTGAATTTATGTGATCATTCTCTTTCTAACTTTGTTGTTTCCTTACCTTCAATGCAAAATTTTGTTTTTGATGTACAAAATTCTTATTTGTCTTTCAAGCCTTGTAGAGGAAATAGAAATTTTCGAAGTCTTTTTTTTTTTTTTTGTCATCAGAAATTTTCGAAGTCTTTTTGATAAAAATAAGAATTAACACTATTAATTACCACCAAATCACCCATAATAAGATAGGAATTATGGTCTTTCGAAATAGTATATTTGCATGGATGTGATTTGTAGTTGTAGCATCTCAAGATCGATTCCATCGACTAACATCAATATTGCCCAATTACTAAACTGAATCGCACTCTCTGACTTTAGAACACTCGTTTGCGAAAAAATGTGAAAACTAAAGTACACAACACAGTGCAACGCTAATTAACGAGTTCATAAATCACTAATGATGACTACCTACTGTCTTGCCAAGATTTTGTGTTCTTTACTCTCACCAATTTGATTTTGGCATCAAATAATGTCGGAAAACGACAACATTTTAGAAGCAGCAGCAGCAGATTGAGCCTTCTCACTTTCCAGTTCAACTCTGAGATCCGACAAACTCAGCTCCATATTCTTGACGCGTTCCTCCAATTCTTGGACTCCGAGATCATCAGCAATTGCTTTCTTCCTCTCCAAGGAAACCTCCTCAAGCTTTGTCTTTAACCAATCCAGCTTAAATCCCGCTTCTGTTAGCTCGCTCAACTCGCTGTCAATGTTGCTTAGCTCAGACTCAGAAAAGCTAAGTGGAGGCCTGCACAATGTCTCGATGAGGCTGAGGACAATATTCATGTATGCTGTCTTCAGACCTTTGCCATTTAGTTTGAAATCATTTGCAATGTCTGGGTGTTTCATGAAAAGCTGGCTGACAGAAAAAACCTGCCAACAACAACAACATCCGGTTATCCAGAAAGAAAGAAACAAGATAGAAAAAGAAATCCTAATCATACCTGACTAGAAGGAACCTCAAAACCTTCGATTTCAAACATCTCCTTGCCAGTTACATATCTTTCTTCACCTGCTTTAACTTCAACTTTAATGATCAGTTTGTTATTCTCCACATGTCCTTCCTCTTTAAGCTTGCTAAGAGGCAGTGTCCTATTACCCCAAGCTAGGATTTTATCGCAGAACAAGCTTGATATTTCTGTAAGACAAACAAATATGTATATATATAAACTTTTCTTAGCTTCTTCACTAATGAGATATTATCATGCATAATGGAAGATACGATCATATCATTACCAGCTGCCCTGTAGAGCACTTTTCCGGATTGATTCAACAAAAGGAAGCGATAACTAGCTCGCGTTCTCCATCCAGTTATAAGCGATTTAGAATTGTGAACGCAAAGGTACAAACGCAAGTCATCTTCGTTTTCCTTGGGATCAACTAGAACATACCTAAGAAAATATTTAAATTAAAAACCCTTTTGAGTGCTAAATGATCTAATATAGATTTACCATAATTATTCAATTTTTTGAAACTAAACATTGATTTTAATAGCTTACCATTCCCATCCACAGCTTAAGAACGTTGGAGACGCCATCGGCTTTTTCCTCTCGAAGAAGTTATTTATCTCAAACGTGAAAATCGTTTGCAACTCATAATTCTGTATATCTGTTTAAAACGCTTTCTTAGACTTTTTTTTTTTACATTCGAGGACAAAAGACAAACAAATTTCTCATAAAACTTTTTTGCTACTCTAAGACAAAAAAAAAAACAAAAAAGCAAACAAACAAAACTTATATCAAAAGAAATCAGAAGAACCAACGACTTACCCGAAGTGCTCTTCTGCATCTGATTCCCCATATCTTTATCAAAACGCTTTCTTAGGCTTTACTTGGTCAACCAAAAGACAAAGTTCTTGCAGATAATTTGTTTGAAGAATTTTTGAGTGCTAGACGAAACCCTATTATACAAAGTTGGATACCTTCTGCTTAAATTAATGGAAAAAGTGGACACTTTAAACCAAAAAAATGGAAAGTCTCTCATAACTGTTTAGGCATATATTATTATTTCCATACACACGTATTCTTTTCTTTTTGAAAGTTTACATATACATGACAGTATGTTTGTATGTTACGTGATGATCATGGGAGTTGGTATCAGAGACAGGTTCCTATTCCTATAAGTTAAGTTTATCAGGATTAGCAGTATATATAATCAACATCACAAAAATACAAAAACAATATCATTCTTAGCTATTGTTTTCTCAACAGCTAAGAATGCAAATCCAGTAATAAATGATCTATGTGTAGGACCGCGAAATCCCGATTTGAAAACAGAGAGAACGAACTTTTAGAAAACGATTTTAGAAAACTCGTGAAGGCGAGATATGATATCTCTTTCCGTAATCCAAACTAGCTCCCGTAGTGTGGCCGTACAAAAATTGAAGTAAATGACATTATGTTAAGTTGATTGAGAAAGGAGTACTCCATAAATTTGTGTGGAGTACTTCATTTCTAAATAAAGCATAAAATTTGTGTGGTACTCCATAGAATTATTGTTTTGAAACCTATATATTGATATCTATTACAATGGGTAACAATTTCAGTGGCAATATAGAACATCAAGATAAAAGATTGAAAAGACCATGATTTGTATCCTAATGATTTATGCTAGTGTTGTCGATGCGTCACCACTCGGATTCAAATCCGGATATTACATATTTTGACCAAAAATATTGCAAGTTCTATAGTAGAAATTTCTTCTATTTGATAGATTTCTTCTTTTATAGCAACAAAGTCCATCTCTAATACAATGCCTATAGTTCGTAATAACCAGCAAAAAGAAAGAACAAAAAGATCATCGAAACATGAAACCCTCCTTTCTTTTCTATAAAGGAGATTTGCTTCATATATACTTTACAACCGCAAAAAATACAAATACAAACCAAAGGACTTAGCCTACCACTTAGATGCAAGCCCGGCCTTTAACAGTGACACATACAAGAGCTGGTTCCATGTGTCTGGAACACCCGGTAAGCACCAATGGCTACAATCTTGGTGACTCACGGCCTCTCTTTTCTCCTTTTCGGTCCTGTACACCATTCTATATATCGACGGGTGACCATCTTTTCTGAAATCTGTTAGTCGACTTATGTTCATATATATCACCGGAGTTTTCATTGTATCACGGAGAATATACTCGAGAGCTTTCATCTTCGAAGGATACTTTGCCAAGTACCTCGTGTTGAAAATCGGTTCTGTTTCTTTGTGGCATTGCCCACCTGAGTTCCATGGCCCTCCTCTGTATAAGAGCACCGGCTCAATATCGTCAAGAACAACGGTTTGCAGTATATGAAAAGTATTTTTTCGATTAGGAATTACCTGAAATGTGTAACGGAATAACCTCTAAATACTACATGGGTTTGACTGCGGTCGATGTTCTTATCGACCCATTTCGCCCAAGTAATGAGAGCTCGTTTATAAGCTTCGAGAACCTTGAGCCTCGGGTACACAACGTTACCTTCTTGGTAATAGTTCTCTCTACAAAAGAACATCAAAATCATTGTTAACTAAAACACGACAAGGTTTTCTTGTTCAGGTTCTCTGTTTCACTCATACCCTAGCTTTGTTTTGTCATGAGTCCACCAATGACCGGTGTTGAAAATCAGTATATCAGCATCTCGATACATGGATGTCGTCTTGTCCATCATATCCAGCCTTAAAGTCTCCAATGTAGTCCCATTCACGTCTTTGAAACTTGATTCCCTTACAAAAAAGGGCGAGCCAACGAAATCCACCGTGCAATTATAGTCCTGCAAGAACAAGAAAAAGATCCCAAAAACATCAAGCAAACATGCATTGTCACAGCTCTTAGAATAGTACTACACATTCCGCAAGAAAATCGATATCCACCTCGAATCTGAAAGCGTAAAACCCTTTCTTCTTGAACTCTCTTCTCCCTGAAATCTCGTACACTCGTTTCTTGTCCTTGAGACTATGTCTAAGAATGCAAACAAGAGACTCCCACATGTTCCTGTTAATCGAATCCCCGACGAAAACCAGCTTCTTCCCTCTTAGTTTCTCCAGAAAATCAGTTCCATTCAACCTTTAGATTCCAACACAGAGATAACATTGTACTACTTATCAGACAAAAACTCTAATTTCAAAACTCAGTTCACTAAAAACCTAATTTCATCAAGAACACCAAGAATCATTTACCTGGGAATGTCACACCCATTTGGTTGCCATCTCCATTTAACATAAGCATCATCAGGTCTTTTATTAGCGTGACAGTTGAAATCTCTGTCTATATACGGACACGAACCAGGTGGGTAATACGGCATTGTCTCATCATCAGCTCTAACCCAACTTCCATCGTATATATCACAATCCTCATACGAACCTCTGCTTCGATCTGTAACCACAAAGCCATTCTCTTTACTTGAGTTTGCAGGCACAAATCTACCTCCCAAATCAGACACCAAGCTCGAGCTATTCCCCACACTTGTTGTAGCATTTACTTCGAGGGTATTTTTGTCATCTGCAACTGAGACTTTACCATCTTCAGCAAAATTCGAGTTCTTAACTGTTTCTCCGGATCTTGGTCCAGAACCAAAGTTTGAAACTTTACCCTCTTCCGGCAAAGTTGTGTTCTTCGAACCAGCGTCTCCTGTTGTTCCAGATCTTTGTTCGGCATCAAAGCTTGGAACTTTGACATCTGGGACCTTGTCGGTGAGATTCACTACTTCAGGCTTCTCGTCAACTTGCTTAACAGAAGAAGAAGTGTTAAGATTGGAGCTTTTGAGACCTTGAAGCAGAGGAGAGACGAAAGGGACATTGAAGGAGGAACTAGTAAAGGAGAGAAGTGTAAGGAGAAGGAAAGAAGCAGCGATTCCTAAACCGAATCTGGTTAAGATGTTTCTTCTAGAAGACAGAATCTGGTCTGGAAATAGAACTTTCTTAGACGAATCCATCTTCTTGGTTAGTTCAAATGCAAATTAGAATGGAGAAAACATGGAGACTTGGAGAAGAATCTGAAAAAATTAACAAAAATGGTAAGTTCTTCTGGTTTCTGAGTAAATGTAAAAGAGAGGGAGAGTTTTGAGATTTTGATTTCGATGAGACTTGAGTTTGGGGGAAAAAAGCGGTTTCTCTCGAAGATAACGATTTTAGTTTTAAACCACCATTCATGTTTGTCAAATGTTAAATTCATAATGAAGTGTTTTTTTGTTTATTAATGAAGTTGGTAATGACTAATGAATGTTTTATCTTTTTTTTTTCCTGTCAATATTGGTAAATAATTCCGAAATATAGATTAATAATGTGTCCAAAAGACCAAAACATTATCATTGAATCTAAAATCTCACTGGTAACTAATGAGAATTTGAGAGGAAAAAGCTAACAATTATTCGGTCAAAGCTTGAAAGTAATTATGGAAGTGCTCATTTCAGTCATTTGTATAATTTTAATTTTCCCTTAATAATTTTAGATAATTAAGGTAATTAGAAAGTTAATGAGATCGTGGTAATGACCAAGAAATACGGCAGAGTTCCGCGGGATGTATCTAAGCCACGTGGCATAAGAACGACTCACGAGACTTTGGACCGACATCATTCTTCTCGTTAATTGCGATTGCTTATAGCCGCGGGAGTGATCTAACGGTATCATGTGTGGTCTGAAGATGCAAGTGCACGCTTCTGTCGTCGCAGCGGAATAGTGTCCACGTATACGACTCTACTTGGCCCATAATCGTTGATTTAATTAAAGACCATCCTAATTCCTTTGTTCGGTGCTTTCGTCGTCTTGTTAAAATAGTTTGTGCATTTAAAACCGAAATGAATTCAGCTTGGAATCTTTTGATTTTCCGGTTTAGTCGGTTCGAGTTGTTTCTTGAATTTCGGAATTTCCGGTTACACTGTGTCAGAATTTCGATTCAGTTTGTTGAGTTTACATCTGTTTGATTTTTTTGCCCTCCAAATTTTCTTACCTTACTTCAAAATTCAAATATTGAGTAATGTGGCAGGCTAATCAACATTTTCTTTCGCATTTAGTATTTTTTTACATAAAAATTACACTCAACTTCACATCTATATCAACATTATAACAAGACAAACAAAAAACAAACACAATAAAAGAAAAATGAAAAAAAAGAAGTGAATTATTATCATCGTGGACCCGAGAGCTCAATGGCTTCTACTACAAGAGACGATTCCTGGATATAATCTGAGTAATACCTTACACGCGGCGATGAACTTACCATCCCCGGTGGCAATGGCGGTGGCTGATTCTCCGCAGTACCGTTCTGCGTCGCTTCCCATCTCTCAGCCAAGCCGTCACCTTCAAGCATCTTCATAACTTCTGACATTTTAGGTCGATGAGAAGGATTGAATTGAGTGCAGAGAAGCGCAACTTGAACGATTTCTTCGAGTTCTACTCTATCGAACTTGTCATTTAGATCTTTGTCTATTAACTGCTTTAGTTTCCCTTCTTGATGCAGCTTCTTCACCTGCCATTTTTAACACTCATTTCTCAGACCAATAAACAAAACCAAACCGATTCCAGACTAAGCACAAAAACAGAACCAAACCGTATCCAAAATAATGGCTTAGTCTTCAAACTATACAGAATTCAAATCAAAGATAAACAAAACCAAACTGAATCTTGATCAAGCACAAAAACAGAACCAAAATTTATTTATATTTTGATTTGGTTTAAGTTTTCTATCAAACAAGACTGAACCGAACCAAACCAGAATTATGACCAATACCTTCAAGATTCTAGAAAGTGAAACAAGAAACAAAGAAAAGAGACTTACCCAGTCAAGCATGACGCCTTTTTGGTGAGCGGATCGGCCAAAATCAAGAGCTTTCTGACCCGTAATGAGCTCAAGGAGAAGTATACCAAAGCCAAAGACATCGGTCTTCTCTGAGGACTGACCCGTGGATAAGTACTCAGGTGCAATGTGGCCAACAGTTCCACGGACCGCAGTTGTGACATGAGAGTCTCTATGGTCTAGAAGCTTAGCTAACCCGAAATCCCCAACAACTGCTTCAAAGTCCTCATCCAACAGAATGTTAGCCGCTTTCACATCTCGGTGTATAATCTTCGGGTCGCATTGCTCGTGTAGGTAAACTAGTCCTCTAGCTGTCCCAACCGCTATCTTCTTCCTTCTCGACCAGTCTAATGCTGGCTCTCCCCGGATATTATCTAAAAAAAATGCAGCAAGATTGAACTATTAAAAACTTGCAAAAGAGCGCGAAGAAATTAACAAATTTGGTTTTGGAAACTGCATTACCTTTTAAGCGTGATGCGACACTCCCATTTGGCATGTAAGGGTAGACTAAGATTCTCTCCTGGTTGCTACTACAGAAACCACGGAGCCTGAGGAGATTTCGATGAAGAGCCAAACTTATAGTCTCTACTTCTGTCTGGAACTGGACTTCTCCGCCCGCAATGTTACAGTCCTTGAGACGTTTGACAGCTACCAAAGTTCCATCGCTTAAGTGTCCTTTGTACACAATCCCGTATCCGCCTCTTCCGAGAATGTTTTTCGAGTTGAAATGATTGGTCGCAGATCTAAGCTCTTTGAATGTGTACCTCTTCAAGTGCCCTAAACTCACTTCTGGATCATATTGTTCTGCAGAATATTCATCATCAAGATGGCACTGTCAGTTTTGCTCTGCACAAAATGATGCCAAGCAGATAATTTTTCAAGATACTAACCATTAACGTCAAAAAATATTTGCTTGTTACGCCGATATCTCCACCAAAGAAACATTCCGCTTGTAAAGAAAACAAAAAATGCTGCACTGAAGCTTGCGGCGAATGCAAGAGCTACGTGATGGCCATTGGTACGAGTTCCTGACTCATCTAAAATAAAAAAAGAACCAAAGATGGAAGTGATAAGGTACATTGACGCAGAAGAATAGGGAGCTACGAGAAGCAGACGCCTAATACCTGGTGGACCATCTTGTGGAAGCGTGAGAGGCTCGGGAAAGACAGCAGAGCAGTTTGAAACAGCTTTTGGGCCACAGATCAACGCATTACCAATTACCCTTCAGTCCAAGAAACAAAACAAATACGATGGTGAATCTTTGTTTCACTTCAATGGAAAGATAATTTCTTGGATAAGTTTAGTAAAGCTTACTTGAAAGTTCTGGCAGACACTTTTGGCAGCGAACCGCTAAGATTGTTATACGAAATGTCACTGCATATTAAGAATCAATAACAAATAAGTTTGTAAGTCTTCTCTACATGTATTATGTTCAACTGTGGAACAATAGAAAAAGCAGAGTTTTGAGACATACACTAGAGTGAGTCCCTCAATCTTGGATAGAGACTCAGGGCAAGTTCCTAAAAGACTGTTATTGTTTAACCGCCTGAAAATGCAAATGACAAGAACGGAACAACAAAACACTGAGAATTGAACTGGAATTTTATATACATGCAACAAAAGAATCATTGTGAAACCCTAAAAGGAGCACTCACAAGTAATTCAAGTTCTTGAGTTCTCCAAGTGAGACTGGTATCTCCCCAGTGAATGAATTGTTCGAAAGATCAAGTGTCTGAAGCTTCTCCAACCTCCCAATCGTTTCGGGAATTGGACCAGTGATCGCATTGTTTTGCAACAACCTACACCACAAAACATTAAGCTCAACAAGAAGCAAAACTAAAGAACAAGAATCAAACTAAACTACAAATAACTTACACAGATTCTAGATAGGTGAGGTTTCCAATTCTAGGAGACAATGTACCAGACAAGCTTTGGCTAGGAAGTACCCTGTTTCATTAAGAAAACAAGACAAGTCTCAGAGATCTACCAGGTCTTTTTGTCTTGTGTAATAGAGAGAGAGAGAAGAGAAGACTTACAATCCAGAGACATAGCCATCAGTGCAAGTAACCATTCTCCAGCTACAAGGATCAACTGAATTCACATCCCAATTCTCAAGAACATTGTACGGATCATTCAATTCATTCTTCACAGCCACCAAAGCCGTCACTGCTCATTTCAGACAAACAAAAAGAAAGAAACTTCAGGAGGAAAATACAAATCTAGCCTCAAACTCATATGAATTCACTTATCCCTAAAGCTAAATTTTTTCGAAACTGAAATCTTATCCCAAAAAAACCCACTAATCTTATATGCAGTATCTGCAGGACAGTTCCACAGAGAATGAAGTAAAACTTGAGCTGGTATTGGCTAAGGTTTTAGATATGAGTCTGGTGAGCATTTAAAGCTGTGATATTTATTATCCAATAAAGAAACAAAAAAAGAACCTAATCCACAGAAACATTCAGCTGAATATTCGGAACAACTAAGAAAAACAGACAAACCAAAGATGATAAAATTCATAGAGAAAATTCCAATCTGGAATCTATGTGTTTAAGCTCAAGGGAAAAAAAAAATACATTTTTCTTTTTTAAAAATAGAGATTTCTCCAAGAAGAAGAAGACTAACCTTCATAGTTTACACCAGTAGGAGAAAGTGTAGCAGTAGAGACATCAAGCAACAATACCAAAACCAGAAACCCTAATCTCCAAACCATCAATCTTACACCTTCCATAGCCATATCTCTTCTTAAAGCAATCAACTTTGGTCTGAAAAAAACAAGTTTCAGAGAACCCACCAACTCATTTTTCTCTCTCCCATATCTTAAAAACCTTAGCCTTTTGTCTATTTTTCTTCTTCTTCTGTCTTTATTCAGACAAAAAAAAACTACCTTTGAGCAATCTTTTTCCAGCAATGGAACCTCTCTTTTCACTCTGATTTCAATTCAAATGGAGTAAAAGAGAAGACCCAAATTGAAAAATGACGACTTGCAAGACACTCAGCTTAGAAAGAGAGAATTTTTGAATGAAGCATTAAGAGAATGAGTGCTAAACGAGCAGTGACAAGAGATAGAGAAGAGAGAGAGAAAACTATTGAAAGTGTGAAGAGAATTTTTCCCGAGAAACCAAGCAAACAAAACCACCAAAATGCTCTGAAAGTCTGAGAAAATTTTCTAGAGATCTGAGAAAAAAAGAATGGCAAAAAAGCTATTGACTGATACTAATGGCTATTGGTTTTTATTTTAATCATTTGGTAGTGTAATTATTGAATAACTAATCTCTATGACATTCTTAATTTTTTCAAAAAGGTTTGATTCTAATTCCACACCACTATTACCAAATCATCTAATCTCTCATCTGCCTACTCTTCTCATTCACACCACCAATAAAAAAAGGAATTAAAATAATACTCATCAAAAGAAAGGGACCAAACAAGCAAAATCCAAAATGAAAATGCCAAAAAATCCACAAACACACACAGAAAGATACTGACAGAATAACAAGAAAAGAAGAGACTCTCTGTTTTTCTCACTTTTTTTAAGTTTTTGTTTAGCTTTTTTAAAAACTTTGTTACTGTAAGGAAAAAAAAATAGTACACTTTTTATATGTTTTCATGATTTCACTTTGAATTCTTTTTCTTTTTTACTTTCGGACAGATACTTCAAGAAAACACTTTAATATACAAAAATATGATTAGATTGAAGAGATGGGTCACAGAGAAAAGATAAAAGAACAAGGACATCTCTCATTCTCTCTCTTTTTTTTTTCTTCTTAGAAAAAGTTACAGAGCAAAAAAAAAAAAAAAAAAAAAAAAAAAAAAAAAAAAAAAAAAAAAAGTTACAGAGCAAAAAAAAAAAAGTCCTTTTTGTTGGGCAGATCACGTTCATGGCCTGTCTCCTATCTTGTTGGCTTTTTCGGGCTTCAATTATTTATCCCTTTTTGAGTTTTTCGTTACAAAAAGAATTATCATTTTTACAATTTTTAAAGGATTACACTTTAACTACACGAAAATATTAACGTATATGATATTGAATAATACAAATTTTATTTCACTTGGGATGGCTGATAATAAGATATTGGCAATCTCCTTCAATGACCAGGTCAGGCCCAGCTCAATGAAAAATATCCATAGCTATCACTAAAAATGGGCCCGTGGTTAATAGAAAAATGGACCATGGTCAAGTGTAAAAATGGTCCAAATTTTGAATAGCCATGTCTAAAAATGGACATGTCTATGACTATCGATATCTATTTAAGCAAATTGCTTGCATCGCGTGTAAAAGGCTTAAATGCTTCCGATTCCATATCGTTTTCTTAGGGGGTGTTATTCATTCATGGAGTTAAAGTCAATTCTTAAAGGTTTAGATTTGATTTCTGATATTGTTTTTAACAATCTGTTTGTGTGGAGTTCAAAATCTCTGCAGTATATCTAGGATTATGATTCTAATAATTTACTCATGAAATCCAAAGATGTTTCATTTCAAATGATTTGATATACAAAGATTTTACAAGTCTTTTAGTTTTGAATAACACTGGATTTTAATGAAGCATTTTAAATCTTAGTTGAATAACACCAAACTTTAAAATCTATTAGAGTTAGATTTAGAATCATTAGGTTAATAACACTGGATTAGTGTTGGATTTCAATTCTATTAAAATCCATCATTGAATAACACCACCTTAAAGAAAAAAATCGATGAGAGTTCTGGACCTTTGGCCAATAATCTCTTTTAGTACTCAGAGTCACCATATCATTATTTTCTAGTAGCATTTCTGGAGTTGCTAGGTAAAAGATAAACAAATCTGTTTTCTTATAATCCAATTATGGTATAAATCCATTTTAGTAATTCTTATCGTAGTTACTTTCACAATTCTTTCATTTGGCGGTTTTCATCTATACCGTTTGTTTTTTTACTATAGATTTCTTATCGGTATTTAATGTGTTCAATCATTTGATTATGTTCATCAACCGAAATTTATGTTCATTTCTAAATATCCTCACATGTTTTCCTAGTTTCCTCTTTTGGTGAATGATGATTTGGTTAAATTTTATCATTGAGTGATTTCTAGTGTCTACATGTTCAATTAACATCGTTTTGACGCTAACTGATGTTATGATAAATAATTCAGGTGAGTTAGTAGTACAGATTAAATAGCCAAACTAATTAAATAGATCAGACGAAATATATTTTTTTAATTTTTTTATTTATAGAACAAAATATACATTATGAATTCATGATGCATATGCAGATTAACTATTATATAAGACACATATAGCAATTCAGGGGTGTCCCTTTCGGAAAGGAAGATGAATAAAATATTATATTAAAAAAAACACATATAGCATGTTGATACCATCCATTGTACGGCACTATTCCCGTGAATGGTAGGTTGAGAAACGCTATGTGGTTACGGTATTTGGGCAAGTGAAGAAATCGTCCTAGATTGTTTCAAGTCGATCGCTTTTTAAGAGCTCTCTCTATATTTTTTTGGGTCAAAAAGAGCTCTCTTTATATACTTTAAAAACCTTTAACCATTCTTGTTTTATATGTGGATTTCCATAAGATAAGTTATAGTTGACGTGAATTTTTTAGCCAATACTTTGAAGTTTTAACTCAATAATCGAATGTGTCTCGTCCTTTATATTATAAAGCACAAGTCACTTCACAAATTAGATTTTGCCACAAGTAATTTTTAAAATAATATAATTTTAAGGGCTATATTAATTGATATGCATAGAAGACTGAAAAATTAAAAATCTATCCATGGTTATCTTTTTATTAGTTCTCTTTCCTCTGACTCAATTAATACCAAAACTACCCTTTCTTTTGTGTAACCGCTAACAAAAATAATAACCAGATAAATAGTTTAGTTCTAACAGTAAAAATAACATTGTTATTATCGTCGAAAATACTATTCTTCATCGGAAGAAATAAAGAAATAATGATTTGTGTGGTTATCTTTTTTATTAACAATGTAAATCAAATTGTATCACGATAACTAAAAAGTAAAAACACTGTTCACCCAAATATCGAAAACTCTATTCATCACGAAATGTAATAAAAAATAGTGATTTTGGTGATTATTTATGTAGTTAGTAATATAAATTATATTATATCATGATAACTTTACATGTTGTATGGTAAAATTATATTTATCGTGCTAATATATTTATTATATGATTGTTATCAACAAACTTTTATAATAATATGTTTATTTATTTCGATAATTTATTCATTTCCGTTAACTTATGCATTAGCATATTTATTTATCCTGATAATTTGTTTATCACGGTTAACTTATATGTTATCATGGACGTTAAAAATCTTCTTCTCTTCTCGAGTATCTTCCTCCGTCATCATGTCTTCCAGATTTTTTTCTTCTTCCATTGTCACTTGCAACTCCATCCCAAGTTCACCTCATCACTTTCTCTCTTCTTCTTCTTCTTTCCCCACCTCTTCGTCCTCTCCATTTTTACTTTAAACTACAAAACAATAATTTTCATCCCCAAATTCTTTCCCCACATCTTTGTCCTCTCCATTTTCACTCCGTCTTCTTCGTCCTCTCCATTTTCACTTTATTTGTGTAAACGCTAACAAAAATAATAACCAGATAAGTAATTAGGTGTGTAGAAGAAAAGAGTACATTTTGTGTAAACGCTAACAAAAACAATAACCAGATAAGTAAATAGGTGTGTAGAATAAAAGGGTAAAAATGTCAAAAGATCAATCTCTCTCTTGTCCACTTAATTAAAAGAAAAGCATGCATACCTACTTAATTATTTGATCTTCTGAGCATATCCATTGATATTTCCCTAATTTTAATCAAAATTAAACAAAATAACTAAATCAAGTGTGGACAAAAAGAAAAACAAAATAATTGTGGCATCGTGTCTCACCCATCCCACGAGTCCATGATCTATCTTCCTCGCCACGATCTCTCTTCAAAAAAAATTATGATACTCATATAAATCTGCTTCCACATTTGTTCATCAAGTTAGTGTTAGAAATCAAATATCTCGCACTACCCCATTTTAGATTTCTAGGTTATTTTTCTCCTCTTTAATTTTTTAATCATTTAGATTCTTCCGTTTTGGCCACGTATGGCTGATCTTTTACTTCATCGTCGTCGTATTTTTTCTCATCAAATCGGATATGGAAGAAGAATTCTGAGTCGTTTTGTATCTTCGTAATTTTGTTCAGATATCTCGGAGGAGAGAAACAGATTCAACGATCCTCCATGGAAAGTGGGATGGTAATTCTGGGTGAGTGGGATTTCATTGTTGCGTTGCTTGGATTTCGAATCTAAAACCGCGAATAAAATTCTAGAAACGAGTGACAGAAATCAAGAAGCCAAAACACGAAGAAAAGATGAGACAAAAGAGGCTATGTTGATAGAGAGAGAAGAAAACCAAACTCAAATTTTGCTCAAAAATGGATTGGTTTTGTAAATTAACACATTGCTCTCCACATGTGTGTGTGGGATGTGTAGAAAGGAAAAGAGGAATTAATTGTTAGATTACCCACAACACAGATTAATTTTTATTAAATATATATATTAGTTCTGAAGATTCAGTAAATCATATAAAGGGAAATTATCAATGCACACATGTACACTGATGTCCACCTACTGCATCTCTACAATCGCAATGAGGATAGTAATCATCTCGAATTTCGATTCTGCATTGTCCAGCCGACCGAAAAATATCAACATCACATGGATACCCCGGAATGAATTCAACAAGTACAGGCGCACGCTCTGCTGCCTCCACTATTTTATATCAACCACAAAAATATTAGATGGTGGATTAAAGGCCTTAGATAAAAAGATATTGATAATGCAAAAAATTACAAGTTTTTTCACAACCATATTAAGCAAGTAATTGAAAATATAGATATCTCACCTTTAGCATTATGCATCACGAAAAAGATGAGAACACAAGAAACCACAAAGAAAGTAACAGATTTCATGATGCAAAAATTTCGTAAATGATTGTCTATATTTTTTTCTGAATTTTTGTTGTTTATCTCGTACTGAATATTTTCTTATCAACACTGTTTATATATACATACAACATTAAGATACTTTATCATACTAAATTAATAGGCAATAATTTTATATTTGGCTAAAATAATTAATTTCCCATTTGAGAGTAAATATTTAAATTATAACCTAAATAAGATAAACATATTTAGATTTAAAGTCAACTAAATCTGTTATATATAAAGGTTTGGTTTTCTGCATCCATATCATCATCCACGTGTTAATAATAATAATTTGATTTTATTTGCATATATAATTAAATTGTTTCTCTTGCTTTATATCATCATCTACATGTTAATAATAAATTGGTTTCAAGAAATTATTAGAAAAATTAAAGAAATGATATGGCATAATTTTATTGGATATTTAGGGTGTAAATGGACTTTTTCTAATTAATGTAAGATTAAAATAATTGGAATCTTAATGAAGTGTCAATAAATTTTTTATATATAATTAGGGAGTTATCTCCATTATATTAAGGTTGTAATAATAATAATAAATGTAGAGCTTACATTAATTATTTAGTGGACATGTGGCAGTTGCTGGAGTAATGATGTGGCACTCATATGGAAAGAGTTGACTAACTTTCATATATATGATTTTCGGTTAATTTGGATAATTTTATATAGTTTGAGTTTTTTTACCGGGTTTTCCGAGTAATTAATAATTATAAATCCAAAAATGTCAACTATTTTTAGATCAAAATAACTAAAATTTCCAAAATAACTGAAACCTTTAGTTATATTTATCAAAAAAATTTTAAAAAAATTCAAATCTAACCAATTTTAAGATTTTAGGATATTTCGCATACCCGAAACCGAAACAAACTAACTCGAACTAAACCCAAACCCTCCGAACGTATAAAATATCTGAATGGATCCTAAAGATCTAAACCCAAAAAAACCAAACCAAACCCGAACGCCCAAACCTACATACATATGTATAAGTTATATACTACTTATAACTAATTTTACAAACAGTTGAGGTTCCCCCTCTTTCGATCGATTTTCTCCAATGGAAAACCCTTAAAAATCACTAATTCTAACTTTGGATCCTCTAAATCTTCAAAGCTTTTCTTCTCCTCCTTCTAAGAACTCCAAAAACCGCTCTCAAGTATTTCTCCTAATCCTAATTGATTCTCACCATGGACTTCATGGACTTAAATCTCTCTTTTTTCCCTTTGTTCACCTTAGTTTGTTCTATGTCTCTGGAAGTTTTCATGTATTCGTTGGCTATGTCTCTGGAATGGTTGTATCCCTCATCGGCTCCTTATACTTCAACTTGAATTTCATCAATGAAAACCAAATTATTAGTGAAAAAAAAACACAAAAACTGGATTCCCTAGATTTTTTGGAAAACAAAATTTCAAAAAAAAATATTGGGTAAAAATTGGAATTTTTATATTTGGTTAGTTGCTGGCATTTGGCATGGATAACAAGAGAAATTGAACAAAATTGAGGGGGGGTGTATTGGACTTGGTATTTTAGAAGATTTTTGGCTATTTTAAAAATCATCTGTTATTCAACTGATGATTTTTAAAATTTTTCTCAAATCCTATGTTATTAAACTTGGAATTTATGTAAAATCACCTAAAATAATCTACAATCTCTTGTTATTGAATCAACAATTTGTAAAACTCATATCAAATCTGCTGTTATTCAAAATATTACAATTTTTTAAGGAAAAGCTACTAAAAGTGATTTTAGGAGACTTCTTTCACTTTTTTAGTTAAAAATATGACAGAAAAAATCCCACCTCTATAGGTGGAACTTCAAAGGATTTTTCAGGAACAAAAAAAGAGAAAAAAGAAAAAACTGTCTCGTTAAACAATAATCGAAGCAAAGGTCTCGATCTCTTTTTCAGCAATAGCAATGGTGCCCGGATAAATTCATCAAAAACGAAGGTCGAGTTTCGGTGGTGATTACTCAATCGTTTGTGGGTATTGGTTGCAGGGGAAGAAAGTCGTCATCTTTGGACTCCTTGTAAGAAAAGCTTGATCCCTATGCCATTAATGGTTGCGCAGAGAAGCTTGATGCCAACGATGCAGTAATCTATCTATGGTTATGTTGGGATAGTGTTACAAATTTTGACTTCAGTATTAAACATTTGTTTTGGTCTGAATATATGAATAATGACAAATTCAAACAAAGTCAAGTGAACCACCGGAGATTTAGACCTCTGTAACTTTGACTACTTAGAAACGTTAATCATGTGTTTATGTCTGATTTACTCAATGTGATTGTATTGAAGTTGGCAAACAATATTCAAGGGAAAAGTTACAGGACGAAGTAAATATTTGGCTTGTGAATGGATTCGAATTAATTACAGGGTTTGACTGATCTCATGAACACTACTATGAATGTGCGATTGATTAACGAAATGATTTGGTTTTGGTGTTAATCATTATTGGTTGAAAGATGATGCATGAGTGTTCTTGTTCATCAAAGTATTAAGATCCGTTTTCGCAGTTATGGTTGATCAAGAGCATAGCTTTCACATTTTGACACACTTTCTTGATAATGTTTTCTTCTAATGCAAACGCTTGCTCAAATTTTCAGGAAATTAGTAGAATCTCCTTACGTTGATTCTATAGATTGCGAAAGATGGCATTTTTTCTGGGTTGTTCCCAAGAATCACGACGACATCAACTACAAACTTGCTTATGATAGTTTTATGTCCAAGGTATTCAACACGTTCCGTCTCGCCATTTTTGGTCTCACATGATCAATTCCGGTTTCTTGAAACATCATGTACTCTTCTTCGTTGGTTGAACTGCTTCTTGACAATGGACACGTTCTTCATAGAATCATAGCTCACCATGAACTGCTTCTTCACCATGAACTTCTATCATTGAATTTGTATCACACGTTTGGTGGTTTGGCTAGAGATGTGGAACACAAATTTTCCTTTTCTATGTTTTAAAAGTATCCCAAAATCACCCCAAGTTTAATGAAACCTCACCAAATCACCAATCAGTTTTTCCTTTTTTTTTAATAAAAAATCTTAACAAATAATCAAATCCCCAAAAAACTCACTCAAAAATTTCAAAAATCTAAATTATTCAAATTCCACCAAATCTCCTAAAATATCAAGTCCAATACATCCCCCTGAAAGTCCCTTATTTAAGCCTTCAATGGTTGTAGTTTTGGGTTTTTCATTTTTAAATTTTTGGATTTTGATTTTTTTTGGAAAAAAATCATCATTAATATAATTTTTAGATTCTTTACTACAAATGAAAACATAACACAGAAACTGGATTCAAATACTCTATTGGTTAGTAAATAAATGGTTGCTTGAAAACAAAATCCAAATACTTTGTCAAATTGCAGCGTACAAACTAAGTTCTCTTGCGTTTGTGTTTTTTTTTTTTGTTATAGTCACTACAGGATTGTGACGCAAGCGAAGACAAACAATCTAGGACTTAAAAATTCAGAAAAAGTTCTAGAAAGATTTAGAATAAAAAAGGGTATAGACTGGAGCCGAGTGGCCCCGAGTTCACTCTTTGTAGACCTTCACACTCCTATCAAAGTGAAAGATGGACCTTTTTCTTTTTCTAAGTCAAGAAGATGAAGAGAATCAAAAGAGAAAATACTTAGTAAAAAAGAAGATACTTGTTTATTATTTATGAATAGTGAGAAACATTTAGAGGTGAAACATAATTCAAACACAAGTCTCAAATTCAAGAAACGCTAAGAGTGTTTTGAAAGTAAGTGATAAGATTGTAAAGGCTTATGCAGCCGCAGTGATGTACTGGATTGCCTCCTTGCAAATACCTGTCATTGTTGCTTCAGGACCATACACCTTGAAATCAAACAAACATGTAAAAACAGTTAGAAACGGGTTAAGCGGGAATGTGTTGTGCTTATTTATTGTGTTGCATATACCTCGATGGGGACACCGATTTCATCTCCAAGTGATCTCATTTTAGCAAGTCCCTTTTGGTAGTTTGGTCCTCCTCTCCTCACAAATATATGCATCCTTGCTGCTTTCAGCTTTGCTTCCTGTAAAAGGTTAAAGGAAAGCTCATTTATACTTATAGTCGAGGGCAATAAAAGGCTTGTGGATGACTCTACCCTCTTCTTGCTTACCTTTTCCTTGAGAGCTCGGATTATGCCATTGAAGGTGGCAGCAACATCGGTGAAGTTAGCAATTCCTCCTCCGATTACCAGAGCTCTACTTTTTCCATCCGGATTCGCTGTAGCACACTGAAGAATTGGGAAAAATCACAGTATTCTATAGTCAGAAGTGCCACTATGTTGGGTTGGTTTCATATGTTTTAATGTGGAAGGAGACAACAAAAAGGCATCTTACATCGATAACGACTCTCGCGTACTGCAAAACCTCGTCTTCTTTGGGTGCTCCACTGTATTCAGCATAATTTCCAAGCTCAGATGCATACCCGAGATCTCCAACCTGGATATAAACATTTTAGCACACAGTGTAGAGGCTAAGGCTTGCGAGGAGAAGAAATGCAGGAGATTCTCAGTGTTGATTAAGCAGGTACAGATTTTTCATATAAAAACATACAGTATCGGCATAGATGACACTTGCACCTCCTCCAGCTACCATAGTCCAAATCCTTCCCTTGGGATTCAGAACAGTGAACTTCAAAGACGCACTTGTCTGCATATACAAAAGGGTCATAAGTCATAATAGAGAAACTGGTGTTTCCCAAAGCGGTGAGTTCTACACAGATTGGTAATGATACCTTCTCATCTAGACCGTGGATGAAGCTCTCTGTTGAACTCATCACTCTTCCAAATGGCATAGGGAATTCAATGTCGCCCCACCTGAAAAATGTAAGAGGTTAATCATACCGACTGAATATAGCAACAGCAAGGCTTATCATGCCTTGTTGAAGCTCTTGACTTGGAACAGTTAAAAAAATTGGAAGAGCCAAAACTTACTTCTTAAAGTTTTTGAAAGCAGCGGTGTCATCAAGCTCACCCCTCATATCTAGAGGATAAGGCTTTCCATCAACCAATGTGAAAGGATTCATCTCCAAGAAAGTGAAATCAAGATCTAGTGTCCAATAAAGAAGAAGAGAATAAAAAAGCTTCAGTTTTTTGTTCAGATTTCTTCATTTTGAATCTGCTTTAGATAAGTACATGTAGAATTAGTGAACTTTTGGCATACCTTCGAATAAGGTAAAAATAACTTGAATAAAATCTTCAAGTTCCCCTTTGATCTGTACATGGAAAATTAGTAAGTCGAAATTGCAAGTAGTTTGTTTCAATGCAAAACTTCAGTTCTCATTGATATTCTGCTTAATATTACCTCTAGAGGAAGGGTTGCAACAAGAGGTGCACATATCTCAGGTGTCAGGGAAGCACCCGTCGGTATAGATATGGTCTTGACCTATAGAAAGTGAACTCAATTTTCAGCTTTAGGGTGAGAATATGACACTAGAATATCAATGAAAAAACATCGAAAATACCTTGTCCCAGTTCTCCTCGATGTCAATGCCTCCGCACTCTGAAAAGCTAATGCTGCAGCCAAGTCTATCGGAGACAATATTAAGATAGAACTCCTCATTGTGTGGGACAAATGGTTCAACAATGAATGTTGTTATGGGTCCTTTGCATCCACTCATCTCTACCTGTAGACAAAACTAAACCTTTAAGTAAAGGGAAGGAAACAAGAAACAAGCAAAGAAAAGGAAAAAAGGTAACCTCTTTGCCCAAGCGTTCTTTCACAAAAGTTGCAACATCAGCGAAATCTAATTTCAGAGCAACCAAACCACTTTTGCCACGCTTTCCAAACAACATATCAGGTTTCACCACAAGCTTCTCAGATGAGAGCCAAGGTTCTTTCTCAACTAGCTCATTCAGATCAGTCTCTTGGTTAATCTAAACACATACACAGATGGATCAAAGCGTTAACACAACACAACAAAAAAAGAACATCAAATTATGTCAATCACAGCATTAATGAGACACACTCTTTTAAACTAACAAGAACAAACAGGGTCTGAGTCATGTCGGAGAAACCAATGCACAAAAACAAAATTTTTAGTAAAGAAGTCAAGATGGATCTAACCTGAACGGATCTGATAGGCAATTCTTGACCAGAGAGCCTTTTGAAGTGTTCTTTCACCAGTCTCTTTGAGTCATACTCTCTGATCTTCTTGCGAGCCATACTTGACAAAGAAACTAGACGAAAAAACACAGTTTAGAAAATCGATATATCTACACAGATCCAGTTCAGTGAACAACACACAAAATCGGTAATCAGATCGCTAACTATTCATATTCAATTAGCAATCAAACAGGGAAAATCTATAAGTCCAAAACTAATTACGATTCGAAACACTAACAAATTCGAATGGATCAAATAAGTTAAGCTTCAGGGTAACAATGAACATCATTATAGACGACAATGACACACGAGAAGAGACAGAGACAGAGACAGATACATATACAAAGAGATGAGTTTCAACGAATGTAGTCTACGATTCGAGATGAAACAGACCTCTTGATTCAGAAAATGGAGACGGATCAGAGGAAGATGAAGAAGAAGGAATACATGAAAATGGCGGATCTTACCGTTGAGAGAGAATGAAAGAGGTAGCTACAGCTTCGGTAGTCAGCGAACAAAATCCAGACTTCTTTTTGCCTTTTATTGCTTAAGGATCGTATTTATTTATATTTAAACATTATCATTTTTTTCCTATATATATTTTTTTTTAAAAAAGTACTATTAATCTGTCCAATTACAGCTTTGATTAAGAAAAGAAAAAATCTTGTCCAATTATATTACAAAAACATGTTATGAGTCGATCCCATAAGAGTACATGCTAATTCTATATTTCAATTTTTGTTTTGTAAGTAATAATAAAAGTTATGTAAACAGTTGTAAAACCTTTGGAGTTACTCTGCTTCCATCATAAAGCTAGGTGGTGATCGTTCGTCCATAAAAGCTACCTAACTTGTAAACCAATGCTTCAACTCCCAACTATTTTGATTGTACTTATACACATTTTGGGCGCTTCATTAAAATTGCAATATAACTAAGATTATAGTAGATTTAACTGGTAATAAATCAGATCCGTTCAGGTTTGACCGTTGTCATAATAGCACAAAGAATATGGGATTAGTATGACTTCATCTGTACTTTAAATTACCTTTCTTGTAATATGGACACACCTTGGATAAGAAGATTTGAGAATGCTTTTTGTCCAATAGTCACTCGAAACAAAAGTGTGATCAGACAAAACCCAGAAAAGCTAGCTGCATATGGAGTTCATCCACCACTAATCAAAGTACAACTTACAAAAAGCAGCTTGACACGAGTATACATCTTTGATGGGAAGATCTGAGATTCCATTGTTGAAAGTTTCAAATTGAAACCAACTTATTAAAACGACCAAATCAATTGAAAGTGAAACAACAATCTCCACTTGAAATACTCTTACATGATCCGCGCTTTCTTAAGTGGAGGGGTGATTAGAGAAAGAGTATCAGATAGAGACCTGGCTTTCTTAACCGGAGGGATGAACTGGGATAGAAGAGTGTCTGACAGAGACTGAGATTTGTTAACCGGAGCTAGAGGAGACAGAACGCAGCAAGAAACAGTTCGCTTAATGCGAAGCATTTCTCTGTAGGTATCTTCGTTGCCATGTTCAATTTCCAAGTCATGCCATTTCTGCCACACTTGAGGGTCTGCAAACTGTGAGGCATACTTGTAGACTGCACGAGCTCGATCGACTTCTCCCATCCTTCTCTCCAGCTCTGCAAATCTGATGCACATCACCTTCACATCATTCTCTGCAAGCCCAGATGATTCTATGGCTTCCTGGAATATCTCCCTAGTTTTTTGAGCACCAAACCTCTCAGCTGCACGAGCTATGTATATCTCATACATCTCTAACTTCTTCTCATCCGCAACTCTTCTCGTAGCTTGTTTGTACACATCCATGGCCCTCTTCGCCAGACCATAATCTTCTTCAAATTTTGCATACTCAAGGTACAGTATAGCAGCATCAGATGAACTTACCATCGAAACAGCATTCTCGAACAACTCTCTCGCCCGCTCCACCTTTGTCTTCCCATATCTCTTGACAAACTTTGTGAGATACGTTAGCCATATGTCTTTGACATGAGGATACTTAAACATCTTCACACCTCTTTCATACACCTTGAACGCTTCTTCAAAGTAGTTGTTTTCCTCAAGAAGCTGAGCGTAGTTCAATATAATCTGAGGTGTGGCTATTCTTAATTCTAGTATCCTCTCGTACGCTGATCTCGTGGATTCTAGAGTCCCTACACTTTCCTCCAGATCAACGTAGAGTGACCACAGCCTCGGGGACTTGTACAACTTCAACTGGACTGGTTCTGGTTCGTTCCCAACATCAGCAACTTTGTTTCTGACTTCTACCGAGGGTGCAGCCGTAGCCCGCCTCATTAGCTCTAAAGCTCCTTTGAAATTCTTGTGTCTCAGCTCCATCTCGGCCCACTCACACCACACGCAGGCCAAATGATCCACGGTTTTGTAGTTTACTTGGACTGCCTTGTCAAGAACCACTCTTGCATTGACTAAATCGTTGTGGGTTTCATACAACTTGGCAAAAGCAACCCATAACGTGTGAGGAGACTTACCAACTGCTTTCATGGGATCCACAGTCCTCACAGCTTCTGTGTACGTCAGTATCTGCTTCTCTGCGTCTCCCTCAAACAACTTGACTCTACGATGCCATTGTTCAACATTGTGTGGGTTTTGCCTCAAGAGAACACTGTTTGCAAGTGCGGGTCTCCTGTTCAGCAGTTCCTCCCAGCGAGCCAATCGCAAATCAACATCGTTACCATCATTCAACCAATACCCACGCAGGATTTTCCTCTGCATCTCTTCTAAGGACAGAGAAGTATTGACACGGACATCTTCCTCCTCCTCTACCTCGGATTCATATTCTTCACCACCTTCTTCAACTTCTTCCAACCTTTTGGCAACACAAGTTTCCTCAAACCTTGAATAAGCGTCAAAAATAACACTAAAGTCCCTAACTGTGACCACCTTCACCATCCCCTCCTCATAGATATCACGGGCCTTCTCGAACATATTTTTTCTAATGTAGTAATCTGCAAGGCAAGTCCAGAGCATCCCTACTTCATCCGTAAACTTTGCAATGCCTCCTCTGATAATAGCCTCCACATCAAGACCAGAAACCTCATTAGCATGGTTAACAACAACCTCAAGCAGATCCATCCACAGGCGATAAATGCTCTTGCCTTTACTAGACTGAAATTGAAACTGGCCATTCAACACAGAGGCCAAATACTCTGCGGACTCTTGCCAACGACCCGACTTCAACAGAAACTCAATAAAATCCTCAATGTGACTAGGATCATAGCTAAGATACCTTCTATAAACCCTAATCGAAGTTTCCACAGGAACACCTTCCTGAGTCACAAATTCAAGATAAGATTTCCAGATTCTACCATGTTGTGTAACGGGAAGAGCAGAGAGAGCCCGATCGAAAGTTTTACGAGTCCTAGTAATCAACCTCTGCGAAATTAGGGTTTGAAGATACAAGAGCCATATCCTAGGCATGTTATGCATCGTAACCAGAGCTCTTTCAAATGTATTGTTCAAGATCTCGTACTGTGGATCAGTAACACACAAATCGCTAACGAAATCGAGACGTTCACGGAGATACGCGTACCAAAGCTTGTAGCTACCAGGAAGAGCTTTTAGGGCTCTCTCGTAGATCACGAATCGATCCTTGAAAGGAGCCTCAGATTTCGAAATCAAATATCTCCACCATGGCTTTAGGGTTTTAGGGTTCCGCAGTACAGTTTCCTCGTGTAAGAGGTCTTCTTCTGACAAAGAGAACACCATTATGCGAACAAACACAAATTGTGAAGAGCGAGACTAGCAGTGAAACTATTTATAACTAGAGAGACCGCCCGACCAAAGCCAAGTCAATCTCGATTTTCTTCTCTCTAATAGATTAGAGTAGTTTCCCCTTTTTCTATTTGTTAGTGGATTTTTATTTTTATTTTTTCTAAATTGGATTTTTTTTCTCCGTTATTAATAGTAAATCAAACAAAATTTCAAAATTTCTAGGTGTATTAATTCTAAAATATCACTGAGTTTAAAAAGTTTTATGGACTTACAAAACTTAATTATCATTGATTTCTTTTAATATTTTTAGATTATCATTGATTGTTATGGATTTGTATTAACATTTTCTTCCAAATTTTTCTCCATAAGAGAAATAAGATATGTTTTCTATAAATTTTCCAAATATTATAGATTTCACCTTTAAACTATGTAACATAGACTATGTTAATGTGTGAGAATAATTGTAAAATAAAAATAATTGTGAAATAACTTTTATTGGAATTTTCAATTTTAAAATATTATAGATTTCAACTTTTTTTATTATTATTATAATAGATTTCAACTTTAATGTGTGAGAATATTGTAAATTAACTTTTATTGGAATTTACAAATTTTTATCTATATTTTGCTTGACCATAAAATTGGTTATCACATGATGTGTAAATTGTATTCGTGTATTATGAATCATATTGCACACTGATTTTTGTTATTAAATAGATTCTTACGTGTGTTCGTTGAGTTTGTGTGTGGATGGGTGTGTATTTTTTTTTTAATAATCTCATCGCCATGATATTTTGAAAGTTTTGTTTTATGAGTAAAATGTACAGAATCCATATCCCAATTACATTAGAATTTAAAAGAGTTAGATAATCAATGATTGCTAAACTTTTTGAATAACAAGGGATTTTTAGAGAGAAAGTTTAAAGTTTCAAACTAGTAACAAATGGATTTTACTAAGAATTTGAGAATTCATGAATCAATAAAGGCAAGCCTTTCTAAATTATACCACATCTATAAAGCTCTCTGTTGAATTCATCACTCTTTCAAATGGCATAGGGATTCAATGTCGCCCACCTACAAAATGTAAGAGGTTAATCACATCGCCTGAATAATCAATGTTCGAGCCATCGTTGCATAAGGTTCCGATGTTTTGGTGAGTCATCTTGATAGCGGATAGAGTGCTTAATTCCGGTTCCGTACAGTTCTATCTATGATAGTAGTAGCCTGTTAGGTTGTTTGGTATGACTTACCGCACCTTTCGTAAAGTCAATCTTTTTTTTTTTTGGTTTAATGTTAAGATAAACGTAAAGTCAATCTGAGAAAGAAGAAGTCGTTGTTTATCAAATGTTTAGGGGATTTAGAAAAATAATTAAAGATGAGTGACTGATCAATACTTCTGGGCCAATAGCCGACGGCGGGAGTGTTAATTCGTAAATTTGGTCATGTACTCATGTGTTTTTGTCTTAATTATGTTAGAACTTTAAATGATAAAATAAACTCTGCCGCCAAAACGTACAAATGAAGCAAGATAGAAAACGAGATGAATAAGTTATATATATTATATTGGTTTGATACTCTCAAATCTCAATGTATTGATTAGCTTTTATTTGGAAGTTTATTCTTATATGCAGGAACGAACGTATGAAGGTGGGAGCGAAACACGGCGAATCTATTACAATAATGCTAAACTTAGGGCTTGACTGGTTTAACAATTAAAGATACTATATAATTTACTCATCAATGGTTTTGCTTGGTCGTGATGAGTAACGTTCTCTCTTACAAAGAGCATAAGATCATTTGATTTGTAAGTAAACCATTAGAATATCCGCAGTATCATAGAAAAAATCAATATGAAATATTAGATTAGAACATTTCTTCGAGTCAAGAAATCTTTTGGATCCGGTTTTGATTAGGTTTTATGTCAACCTCTATTATATTACTTTTTTTTGTCCCTTCGTTATGACTTATGAGACGTGGTGAATAGGGAGAGCTTAATAATTTAGTCTAAAAGGGAGTCATTATCAAACGGACCAAAATGCCTAAACATGTTTATTGAGCTGACTCGGCTCAGTTTGAAACGTACGTATTGATTTTGTCATGTGCAGATTATAAAATTCTAATTCAATTTCAGTATCAACAAGTTTTATTACTAAAAAAAAAGGAGTTTGCCTCGTTCAATATAACTAAATAAACGTTTTAGGAAAATATATGTCATTTGATTAGCTTCTTTTTTATTCTCATTTTTTAGTCATAGAATACCAATTCTTTGTAGGTTTTCAAATCATCTTGTACGTACCTTTCCGTCTTCCTAACAGCCGTTCTTATTATTACTAATCGTTAAACGTATACATAATAGTGCGCTACACTATTCGTACAGTATCCAACGACCGTGGATTTTCTAGTTAAAATAATCAACAATTTTATCTACTAGCTAGATTTTTTTGGTGATTTAATTTCAATTAATCTGATCTAGAAGCACACCAAGCCTATAAATATAAGAGGCCAATATACTAGCTAGGTAGCCTCAAATAAACTTGCAAATCATAATCGGTTTTTCCTACTACATACCCTAAGTTCTAGTCTAACCAATCAAACAACTTACAAAAAAATAGGGTTTCAAGTTTTCTCTCTTGTCATCTATATAAAGTCAGTCTTACAACATGACAAAGAGTGTTAAGAAGATCCCGATGGTGGCCATCTCTCGCTTCATGCAGCCTCCAAGGTTGCAGGACCAAGTTTTTATCAACTTCCGAGGAGAGGAAATTCGCTATAGCTTCCTCAGCCACCTTGTTGCCGCTTTTAAACTACACGGAATAAATTTCTTCATTGACAAAGACGAACAGAAGGGAAAAGACCTTAAGCACCTTTTCAAAAGGATCAAGGAGTCGCAGATTGCACTAGCAATCTTTTCCGAAAGATATGCGCAGTCCCGATGGTGCTTGAACGAACTGGCAAAGATGAAGAAACTTGCAAGGAAGGGCAAATTAAATGTGGTTCCAATTTTCTACAAGGTGAAGGTAAATGATGTGAGACATCAAGAGGGAAAATTTGGTAGTAACTTTTGGAAGTTGGCAAAGACTTCTAGTGGTGAGGAGATCAAGAAGTGGAAGGAAGCTTTGGAGTTTTTCTCTAACAAGATGGGCTTGACGTTATGTGGCAAGAGGTACTCTACATGATCTTTCTTTTTATCTAAGAGTACGTACATATATGTCGAAATGTCAAAAAATTTACAAATTTGTTTTTTCGTGACTTGTGAGTCAAGAAAGAGAAGCATAACACGGACACTACGCTCAAGGTGCATAAATTGATCGGCTAAAACAATTCCGTGATATTTGCAAAAGAAATATAGAAAAATAGACCTTCATTCATAAATTTAGGAAAATAGGAAAATGGGGCTTTTTTTTTATGGTATAAGAGTGTATTTTTTTGGTTTTGGAGCGAATTTTAAATTAAAAGTTACTAAGAACCCAATTAATAGTCAGTTAGTCAAGTTATATGGACCTTTGTAAAAGTCAAAATTTAATTTAATTATATATATGTATACCTTGAGATTCTCATCTTTAGTGAGTCAATGACATTTTTTCCTTCTCATTATTTTATCTCAAAAAATCATATTGATTTTGATTGACTTTTTTTGTCAACTTCAAATATTATTATAAGATATGATCAGAGCGGCATCATATAAGAAAACAATTAATTAATAGATACATTTAGGTGAATCTGATCTCTGCGAACAACCATCTACCATAATGCTTCATGCTGTGACATCTGCACACTTGATGCATTTAGTATTGACAATTGAATTTTCTTCAAATCTCACCAAGCATTAATCGGGATAGGTTAATCTTCATACCAATCCCAACACATTACCAATCAACAATATAGTTGATGTGTGCCACCGAACAAAAAAAGCTCTTCATTTTCAAATCAAAACTGTTCTGATTCTGATTCAAACCAAAACGAAAACCAAGATTGGACCAATACATAAGAATCCACTCTTGAAACTAAAAGCATTATTGAAATATATAGTGAGAGATGTGGTTTACCGGCGTTACTTGCCTTGAACATGCTATATCTCAATATGACCATTTCTTTTTGTCAAATTCAATTCGATAGATGTTAATTAATATATTCTTACATCACATAAGTAGTAATTTACCCGTTCAATATAAAAGACACTAACAAAAATTATATTATTAGCTGATAAATCCTTGCTATTATAAAAAATGGCAAGGCCAAATGATGCCTACCATGTTTTCTTGGAACAACTTTAGTTTTTATAAACATTTTCTCTCCTGCCATGATATGTGTTTCTTGATTTAGAGCTGTTTGATTAATCTGGATTTTGGTCTTAATGTGACATCGCATGTGATGATGTTTATTTTTATTCTTGATTATCATCCATATATATAGGCTAAGTAGGCTAAAAATATAGAATTAGCACGCATAACATTGCTTTTTGATTATTATTTTTCCTAATCAAGTACTGCTAATTTCCAGCGGAATTGTAATCAAGTAGTGTTTAACTAGTTGGTTTTTTGCCATTCCCTTTCCCAGCTCAGAGGCAGATTTCATCAAAGAAATTGTTGCGGAACTGGAGAGAGTGCAAAGGAGAATCCCAATAGAAGAGAGGAAAGATCATACTGAAGATGCATATTCTGGAACAGCCGGCTGTTGGGAATTAGGAAGCTGTATCGGATCACATCAGACGACTAAGCTGCTGACATGGATATGGGAGCTGACGTGGCAGAGCTGGAGGGGATGGTGTGATGTGCCAAAGAAGGAAGCTGACTTGGTGTGAAGATAAAAAAAAATAGAAATTGTGGAGATTTAGTGAATATTCTCCTTTATCGAATTCATTATTTGATCAAGGTTAAGCATCCAAGAGTGTCAAGTGTCAACTTATGACTGATTGCAAAGACATTAGGGAAGATTTATTAACGCTAACCAATCTTGCACTCCAAGCATAGATCACTTCCATAAAGTGTTTTGCTGTCACATGTGTGCAGAGAAACCAGC